CTCATGTGGTGCTTGTACCTAAACCAGAATCTTGAACCCTGATCCGAAACCCCTCAAATTCTGGATTTCCAGAAATTTACGGTTTGTGCCGGCAGTTCGAAACCCACGCTCTCCATACGATCTTAACACGACCCTGTAACCATGACCCCTGAGGACCCTAAACCGCAAGAACAGAGCTCCACACGCAACACCCAAACGATAGCACCTACAAGGGAGTCGGAAAATAGCGGACCCAATCTAAGACCGGAAGCCACCAGTCTGAGCGGCGAAGTGCTGTCGGCTCGAGTCGACCGGCTCTTCCGGGATCTGATTCACCAGTGTGTTGAAAACAGAACCGGAAAATCTTTGGGGTTTGGGTAGTAGGGTTTGGGGTTTGAGGTTGATAAAAACGTGTAAAGGCTTTTTAAGGCCTTGCAATTTTTACCGTAATCCCTCATTCGGGACAGAGAGAAGAGAACCCAAACACTTAAACTCCAAGCCTTAACCCTAAACCCGAAATCCTACCATCCTAAACCTTAAAATCGAGGGGCGCTGAGCGCTCCCAAGGTATCAAGTGCAGGAGAGTTGAGCCAGGGCTGTAGGAGTGCGCTCTGCCCCCGCGTCCCGGAGAGAACCCCTTCTCCGGGCCCCTCTATTCGCCGTTCAGGTGTGGTGCACTTCTTCGGGCAACTTGTGGAGCTCCGTCCTTAGAGTGAGCTGCATTTAAGGCAAAAGCATGCCAGTCAGGCGCCCCATTGGTCTCGACCAGGTTTCGGCAGAAAGTCGGAGTCGTCTCAATTCAAGCCATGGCGCCGGCCTGAGCAGGTGTCGTCACTGTGCTTGGATCAGCGTGGAAGCGCAATGTTGTGCTTTGCAGATGCTCCTTTGCTGTTTTAGAAAATGATGGTCATGCGGTGCAGCTATGTCAGCTCGGACTGCTCTTGTTTTCATTTTGTGTTTCTGCTAAGACAGGTGAAGTCATGGTTACATGCATTTGCAGATTGAAGAAACCCCACCAGATCGCACCAGCATTTCTCCGACAGCTCGTGTTAGAATTGTAGTGAACGAAGGCCCGCATCATGCTGTCTCACCCGCACGGTTTTCGAGGACAAGTCAAGCCTCGCATAGTCACAGTGTCTTGCAAAAGCCTCCCGTTCGGCACGCAGTTTGCCGTGAATGTTGCGTCCGCAAAATCGCGCTTGAAGCCGGGGTTCGACCTCGCCAAGATTGCAATCTCCGTCATCTCAGCCCTCTCAGCCCTGATAGCCCCGAAGGTGATCTACCCGGCAGCACGACTTATACAAGGGCTGCATCGTCAGCTACAGCGTGTGTGCGAGCAAATTTCAGATCCAATTTTTCGTTTCGAGGACAATCCATATCGAAAGGTTGGCAGCAAGCGCGCCCTGATACTGCAGGGGAGGAACCAGGAAGGAAAGACCACTCTCCTTCGAACGGCGCTGGCATGGTGGCGTCGTGTCTGGCCGCGATCCTATGAGGGTCTTTACCTCAATGGGGCAGAGCAGCCGGAAATCACTTCTTTTGGGGAGTGGCAAACCGGCCAAATGTACGGCCTCACCACTGCTGCTGGCTCCGAGGTACTGCGCACTGTCAAGGAGTACTCTGAGTCTCAGTGGCTGCGAAGGTTGTGTCAAGTTTTCCTGCCGTTTGGACGGAGGCCGCCGATCGGCCTGAAGCGTGCTCTGATCATTGTCGACCAGTATGAGGAATTGCTGAAGCGTTTCCCAGTTGATGCACTCAATTGGGCTAACAATCTCACAAACATTCAGACCCGCTCCGGCTTGGCCGACGTGATCTTTCTCGTGAATTCAAGCGGAATCAACCGGAAGCTACCAGCTACCCTTCGTCAGAAAGGTCAGAACCTGCCCACAGCCCGAGTCTCAGCGACCGAGAGGCATGTCTCCAGAGCATCTCTGGAAATTAGTCGCAAAGACACATGCACCCGCGAGTGGCAGGAGCTTCTGCTGGTTATAGGCAGCCAAGCCTCAGGCCTGCAGCGAAGCCTGGAAGCCTCCAAGTATCCGGATGCCCTCCTCAAGAAAAGCCTAGAGTCATATACGGCCGGCACCCTGGAAAGATATCTGGCGGCCTCCAGACAGTTTATGGATTTTGTCGGCATCAGCAACATGCCTCTTTTATCCATGGATGTTACCTTCTTAGCCGATTTTTTACATGCATGCGAAAACGGCCTCGAGGAAGATCGAGAAGTATGCAGAATCGGGCCTAGACCCATCCTCAAAGCCCTCTCGTGGCTTGGAAGATATGCAGGCATCGACATTCTCCAGCCGATTCTCCAGGCCAGCCTCATTAAGGCCTTTTTCACCCAGCCGACAGCCGATAGAAAGGAGGCCCTGCCCCTACCCCTACCCGTAGTAGTGGCTTGGGAGAACCACATTTGTAGCCCACATTGCCCTCCGGACCTCCGCCTCTTTCTCGGGGGGCTCTTGCTAGCCCTTCATGGTTTGGCGATCTGCAGAGAATTCGCCTCAACAGCCTATCCCTCACAGCATCCAGCCTCCGAGGAATTTGCTGGCAGACCAAAACCACCAAGCGGGGTCAGCCTTTCGCAGTCACTCTCCATGGGATATCGGGAAGATCCATCGACACTCTTTGGGTCCTTCCCTTTCTGCAAGCAAGCAGTCCAAGCAGCCTGGATCGCCACGGAACGCGACCTAGGTTCCAACATCTGCCCAGATTTCATCTTGCCAATCCTCACTAACCTGGGAGGGTTAAATCGCCCTTGCTCTGCCTACAGCCAGCCTATGTCATACAGCCAGGCGCTAGCGGCCATGAGACATTTCATGTCCATCCCCTGGCAGGACTCCACTAAGCCTATCCCGGTGACAGCCGAAGAAGCACGTGCCTTCACCCTACACAGCCTCAAGGTTTGTTTGCTAGCAGCCGGAGCTCAAGTGCGTGCAGCCGAGGAAGCTAGACAGCATCAAGGCCACCATAAGAGCCCAAGCGTCCAGCTGTATAGCCGCGACGACACTATCTTAGCCTTAGACCTCCAGAAGCAGATCTGCCTAGCATGCTCTGAAGGATGGAGGCCAGCTAGGCCGATTGCCCGCGGAGGACAACCCCCGACGTTGGAACCGCCGTTCCATGTCGATCGCTCGCAGCCTAGCCTCTCATACAAAGTCTCTTCGTTTGGACAAGGGGTGTCACGGTTTGTCTATGCCAGGGTGGCCCACATCGAGGACATGGACAAGCAGGACAGCCCAGTTCACTTACCCCAGCCGATAGTCCATGCACACGGGGACGTGCCTACGACATAGGCAAGCACGCCTATACCAGCCGACGACGTCGAGGCATTGCTCGTGGAACATTTTGCCACGCAGGCTCATAGTTCATCCGAGTCGGAGGACGACACAAAGCCGACGCAGAAGCCGCAACACGCTACTTTCAGCCTCTTTCGCAACGGCCCATGGGGAGCCATCCATGCATGCCGAGCTGGAGAGGATAAAACCGCCTGCCGTCCAAGACCTCCGCAGCATTTAATCCCACAACGGCCCAGCCTCAGTTCTTTTGCAAGCGTAGAGCCTGCTGCAGGCTATTGGATGCGATGCCTTAGCCTAGGGAGAACAAGCACATACCCTTGCCATCTGCCAACTGAGCCGTTGCCTCGTTTCTCATTGCCTGACTCCGCAGCCGTTTGGGTTTCTGTCAGCCAGAGGTCTGTTAGATCGTTTGGAATGTTCCTTAAACTGCAGTGAAATGTTTCAGATCGAAGGTCGTGGATGGGAGGGCGCGTTGAGGGCAGGACAATTGGGCACCTGCCTTGTAGCCTTCGGAAAACAAGCGGCTTGTCGCCAAGGTCTGATTATCAGTTCCTGGGCTCCTGAACTGTGCGCCGGAAGCAGACAACCCGACTCTAAGGGTGTCAGTATCCAGTCTGCTCATCTGATGTTCTACACTTGTGTCCAGCGAAGTCCATGCCTGAACTGGGCCCCGAAAGAATGGAGCCAAAATGTGCACCGAATTTGCATTCTTCTACTTCGTCGACGCAGCTGTTTGGTAGATTTTGGCAGCCCTTCATGTTCCATGTATTTCGAACGAGGCCGCTTGCTTCAGATGCATTATCATTGTCTCGGGCCGTTTTGACGACAGTGTAACTTTCCTTATCATGTCACGTGCACGCATGTTGGGCGACCCCACGCGACCTCACGACTGCCAGTCTGACCGTGGTGCATTTGAGCAGAACGGACGAATCCTAAGCCAGGGTTAGCCGGATATGGCTTGCACGCAGCATGAACTTCGCAGCGACCTCCTCAAGCACTATGACGAGGCCATGTTGGTGTGCTGAATCTCTGCAGTTGTTCATGATGGACTGTGCATTTTGATGGCAGGTGGTCAGAAGAATTCTACAAGCCGTGCGAAAAGATCTTCATGGAGGCTTTGCAGTCGAATTCCAATGGTGTGAGCGCGATGCCTTCTAGCGGGTCGTGCTGCCATTCCTTGCTGCCGGAGAAGACCAAGCCTGACCGGTGCGACCTTTGCAATGGCGGGTCAGAGTGATTTCGGCAGGCACAGCAGACTCAGATTTCCATGACGGGCTTGTTGCCATCGACAAGGCCGTACGGGGAATGATGGGGGGCCATGTTGTCTCAGCAGAGACCACGCATGTACAGTGTTCCCGTGACGCGATGGAGAGCACTCGGATGCAGGTGTTTTGTGCTAGGTTGCACTCGGAGCACGGATGAGTCGTTCATCATCAACATGTTGCCGAGTGGTCGGGGTGCAATCATGATGCAAGAGAAGCTTTGCAAAAGCAGCTGTTGCAGCCTCCCAACAGGCAGACTTGCAAGTCCGCCAGCACCTCGAGGACGGAATGTCTGTCCACGAGGGGGGACAGTACATGGATCGTCATGGATCTCATGATGAGTCGTTTTGCTCTTCTGACCAAGGTTTCTTTAATTCGGACCTAATTCCGACCTCGAGCCTGCGACACTTGCACATGTGACACCATGTGACCTTCCGAATAGTGCCAGGATCTTCTGCAGATGCATGAGGCAGTAGCCAAAATGCAGCGTGCGGAGGCAGTGAAGGGTATATACGTCCTATAGGAGTCAGAGGTATGGGAGGTCAAGTCTCCAGTTCCTCAACCCACATCGCTCGATGTCGGTCGTTCGCACGGAAGGCACTGGCACAGCAGCAAGCGGACATGCAGCAGTCCCTCCGCTATTGGCAGCGACGGCTGCAGGTCCAGGTCGGCACATGCATCTAAACGGATAGTTGACTCGGGCGAAAAAGTTTTCAGGTTACGCGACACTGATCGAATCATTGATTGCGAGAGTCTCCGCAGTGGGATCCGGCAGCACATGAATTCGTTAACCAGCTGACTAGCCTGGCTTTTGCTTGCAAGGCGGCACAGAAACAGGAGGAGCACGAGTGCGAGATGAAGGCCAGGTTGTGATGTTCCAGTTCCGGAAAGAATTTGGCCCTGCTTCGCAGCTGCACTTCTGCCGCGTCGCGAGGAGCTCGAGGCTCGGCTGAGCGCCGAGGGCCAGCAGGCCAGGAAGCGCGTCAAGGCGCGAAGCGACAGGCTGCAGGCTGCTGCGCCCTGTTGTGAGCGCAGATCTCTGGCAGGAGATGGAGGAGCTGCAGCGAGACCTAGAGCTACAACAGTGCAAACTTGCTGGCTGGGAGAAGGCAGGCAGATGGGAACCCATACGATCGTGCCAGTGGACGTAGCGAGTATGCTTCTGGCAGTGCAGCAAGTTCTGTCAGGAGCTTCGTTCGCAACTTGCCCGCCATTTCTCGATGGTTCAGTGTGACTGACGTCCAGGGTGATCATTCTGTCGGTGCATACGGTCATGGACACTGAACTCCCTTGACCCAGGAAGGCCGAGCAGCTTGTGGAGCAGGACAGTGTGAACAGATCCCATCGATTTCTTGCGACCCGGGTGGCCTGTCATGATCCTGTCGTCATTTTAGGACGAGAAGCTGACAGCAACTGCAAGTGCCATCGCAGAAGAGAAGGAGGCAGACGTGTTCATCAAGCTGTCGGCACACGAGGTGCGAAGGCGAGGAGGGCGTTTGAAAAGATAATCGTGCAGGTAGCCCGGCGGCGCCAAGAGGCCGGCCCACTTTCTGTTGTGCGAGGCATTTCTTCGCTGTTAAGCCAGGTGCTACAGAGTCTTGAACTAAATCCCAAGCTGGTGTTTGCGGCGCTACCAAGTCATACCCAGTCCACTGTATCCTAGAACAGTTCAGGAGGCCGGGGTGCGCGAGCGCTGCGCTGCGACGTCGGAGAGTCGCATGCTGGAGCAGAGAAAGGCAGACGGAGCATGGAAGTGCTTTGCAAAGCGATGTTTGCATCCATAGAGGCGTTCGGATTGCATTCGTGCATAATGCTGGGTTGGCAGCTTGTAGACGGCTGGACGTCGCAGAATCAGAATGTTTGTGTCCGGCTACAAGGCTTGGAAAGTCACTGTCCCATTGCCTGAATAGCTGAATGGCCTTCGGTATATATTGCGTGTCTGGTTCAGCCCGGTGTTGCTGAAGGCATTGTCAGCCTCGGAGCACGAGCTGTCCCAAGCAAGGCACGGCAGAGGGTCAGAAGTCGCCTCGCAGCTCGCAGTCCATCTGTCAATGTGGTTCCGATGTTATCATCGATGAACTTCTTAAGCTGTGGCGATCACGGGGGAGCAGTTCTTTGCTGCTCCGGCCTTGCAGGAAGGACCTCGAGCAGCAGCGGGGAGCGCTAGCTGCACAGGAGGTGGGAATTCACAGAAGTTGCTCGCGGTGTTCAAAGAGGAGTGCTACAAGTGCTACTTAAGGAACACGCGCGCACGCACGCACGCACACGCGCTCGCGCGCGTCCCGCACCTGGCCGGGGCATCTAGGAACTTGGTATTTTGTCAGGCTGACTTGCAGCGTCGTTCTGAGACTTTGGACGATCGCGTGCAGGGCTCAGCAAGCCCTTGCAAGTCGGATCCAGGGCCCGGGCCCTCGGGCTCTGTGCTTTGCACCTGCCAAGCCACCCCAAGCAGGAGAGGAGCCTTGGGGAGCAGTTTGCGACGGCGCAGCGCCTGGTGCAGCGGGATGAGGCTCCTAGATCCTGTGAAATTTCAGCGTGACAACTGGTCTGTGTTGAGTTTGCGTGTGAGGATTCAATGGGCTTTGGCTTCTAGAGCAGGATTTGGGGAGAAGCTGCTACCTGTAGTTGTCGTTGGCTGTCTCGCATTCCACAGGACTTTGGGTGTCCAAGGTGAGTAAGAGCTGGTCGAGGGTCTCGAGTTGGCAGAGCAGGTGACAATTCCGAGGGCAGTCAAGCGCCTTTGCATGCTATGATTCGGCATGCCAGAGAAACCCGGCGATTGTGTGAGTTGTCCCGTGAGACGGAACACAAACCTGGCTATGTGGAGCCCTTCGTGGAGCCTTTCATGCAAAGCCTGCGAGGCTTTGGCTGAAAGATTGCAGTTGGCCGCCACTCGTGAACAAGGCCCTGTCTGTTTCACGCGAGCGTCTTCGTAGGTTGAAGCAAAAGGCAAGGGATTGGCAGATTCGCAGTGTGGGAAGATGTGCACACACGCCTGCGTACACAGAGGAACACTTACAATTCGATTTTTCGAACTATTGTCTGCCGTCCGCACGAGGCCTTCTCGAACGAGAAACAGCTGTGGCAGCCCGTGAGGTACACCCTTGTGAAAAGTTGTGGGGAAGGGACTTGGCATGAGTTTGTGGAGACACTTGATGGTTTGAGCAGTGAAGAAGCGATGGACGACATGCTGGACGGATTGGACTGTTCCTGCCAACGACCGAAACCGAGACTCCAGTCCTGTGGGACTTCAACGAGAAGCCGCAAGCATGACTGGCAACCTTGGACGTTTCTGCCGCCAGACCTCCTGAAACCAGGAAGAGGTGACCTTGCGCGAGAGAGCTCTGCGCGAGGATCTGCGAAGATCGAGGCTTTGCTGTGAGTGATAGAACTGCAGCTTTATGTTGTGTGTCTGATGACGCGGCCAATTGTGCTTGCCCTAGCTGACAGCAGAATCATGCAATTGTCTTGGGGACTCTTCACTGTTGCATTCATGTGTAATTAGGTTACAGTTAGCCTGCAGATTTAACTACTCACGCAGCTTGCTGCGTTTTTGACGAGGCACGCTGATCTTGAGGCAGGGATCAATGCTGATTGCCGCTTTGTTGTGGTGGAGTTTGCTACCCGTGTCTGCATGAAGAGGACGGCATGTTTAGGAGCACGCCATACGTGCCCATGCACGTTGTTTCGGATGGCCAGGAGGGGCGCAGAAAAGAATTAGACCAGCGAGAGGTGCGGTGCAGATTGCTCGAAGTCCTGGCTGTCTTCCGAGCTGTTTTTTTGCAGCAGATGGACAATATGCAAGGATACTTTATGTGTCGGCAAGCCCCTTTGAAAGGATGCTCTAGCCTCTCTTGGCCGCGCTTGGTTTCATGTCGCCATGCTGGCATGATGCAGGCATCCCTGCACGAGAGCGCCCAGAAACAGGCGAGGCTGTCTGCAATTCCTGCATGATGTACGACATTGTTTAGCGGGGACGTGGCTGCTGGATGCTAGCCGCTGCCTTGTTTGCAGGCATCCCCCACAAACTCCCAAGGCATTGCCCGTAACCCACGAGGACTAACAACTTCAAGCAGCGAGTCAAGAAACACCAACCAGAAATCAAGGCAGAGGAGAAGCACCGCCTGGAGCAGCGTGAGCGCTCCCTGCTTCAGGGTGCAGAGGCACTGCGACGCCGCGAGGTGCGGACCTCCGATCAAGTCGAATGTGCGTATATAAATGCATAGATATAGATATAGATATAGATATAGATATATACACACGCACTTACTGTCTATCTATCTATCTATCTATCTATCCATCTATCTAGCTATCTCTCTCCCTCTCCAACTATCAATCTATGTACAAACTCTCTGTAACTGTATGTGTATATGAGTCAGGCGCTCCGTGCCCCCCCCCCCCCCCCCCCTCCCCCCATGGTCCATGGTCCAGGATGCCACCCCCCGCCCCCCCGGTGGGTGGGGTCTGGGGTCCCTCTTGGCGGTTGTCGGGTTTTGGGGTTATATAGGGTTTAGCTTAAGCTTTTGAGGTTGGGGTTTAGGTTTAAGGTTAAAAGTCAAAAGGCTTCGAGTCGGCAACAGCTTAGGGAGGGTTTGGGATGTAGGTTGGTAGGGGTGACAGTTTATGTTCTGCTTCAAGCTTAGAGCTGCATTTAGGCGGTGTTTAGGGTTGGGTGTAACATTTAAAGTATTACAAACAGGACGACGCCCTGCACAAAGGGTTTATGGCTTGGGTAGGGTTTGCGAGATCCCGGCCCTCTCGGTGACCCCTCCTGGCATCCCCCCAGCAGCACCCCACCCAACCGCCCCAACCCCTCTCCGCACACCATACCAGACCATACATGGGGCGGCTGGGAACAGACGCCATGTTTTTGCTCGCGGGTCCCGGGCCCCCACCATCGTGCGGCTTGGGGTTGGCCCCTGCTGCTGCGCGGATTCTGGCTGCCGCACTCCCCCTCCACAGGTATACCCGTGCTCGGCGGGTCTTTGCGCAGCTGGCCATCGCTGCGTTCTCCGCCCACCTGCCCGGCGCCCTCACGGCCTTCATCGACAACACTGCTGGTCAAGCGGCATTGACCAAGGGATATCACGTGCCGGGGCCTCAGGGTGGACTTTCCGTCCAAGGCCAATCAATGTGGAAGACGTGGTCTCTCGTGACGACTTTGCTCATGCCCGACGCGAGGGCTGGACTAGGGTCCAGACCGCGGCGTCCGAGATCATGCATCTGGCCAAGTCTGTCAACGACCTCTTCTACGCTGTGGACGCAGCGACGCTCGACCTGGTGTCCTGCTTTACTTCCTGGCTTGCTGAGCCGGCGCGTGGTACTGTAGGGCTGGGTGCGCCTGGCGGTGCCGAAATGCGCACCCGGTGCCGGCTGTAGGACCTGAACCTGCACGCCGAACGGCGCATTCAGCGCTACATATCCACGCGACGAAGAAAAACGACTAACGAGCCGTCCAGTTTTAGCGTCAGAGCTAGGAGTGCGGCGACTGTTTATGTACATATGCACACATAATATGTGTATTGTTGATATATGCAGGTATGTGTGCAGATGGACTGCTGGGAAATAGATAGATGGATCGGTAGTTCGAAAGTTAGATAGATCAGACAGACAGGTAGATGAATATTGATAGGATAGATCGACAGATAGACCGATAGACAGGTAGACAGACAGTTAGACCGGTAAACCGAAGCTGGCATCCGCAGACAGCGAGAGAGAGCTAGCAAGATGAGTATAGGAAGGTAGACAGGTTGCGCAGATACATGTACATAGGCTCCAGCCAGCAGACACACAAACATAAAAATGAAAAACACATCCACATGTGCGTGCATACATACAAACCCACGTATAGATATCCGTATATCACACTCGTGAGAGAGACGTGCAGGCCTGTAGCCCGCAGCTATTGCGCGTCGGTAGTCCGAACGAACGTTCTCCTACAGCCAAGCATGTAAAGAATGGTTATGTGTTGAACTGCAATTGCGCAAGAGCTTGAACCTGTAAAGCTACCTGTCGAATGCCATGGCAAAGTCGCAGCGCCGCAGGGAATGTTGGGCTGGGATTCAGGATTTCGAGCTAGCTCATTTCACTGAAAAGTACTGTGTGTGTTCGTGCACCATACGACATCATCAGAACGATGTGCCCCAGGCAGAAAGTGACAGACGGCTGACAGAGCGTGAGGCAGAGAAGGGGCGGGTGGACTACAACGCATGAAAATTCAGTTGCTGTCTTTGTTGGACTCGAGACAATTTTCGCTAAGCCGGAACTTGGTGTCTCATAGCAGCAGCATAGCAGATGACTCTCCACCTCGTGAAACTCTTCCTCGGCATTGCCCGTAAACATGTTGTCTTGCCAGGAACAACTTGGTGCACGCGAGCGGACCGTCGTCATGGCTGAGGCAGATAAAACATCAAGAAGCAGCAGAATTTTGCAGCTTAATGCTCGCTATTCGCCTGACAAGCTAGATGAAGATCCTTCAAGCAATCGTTGTCGGATATGCCAAATCGGCCGGAACTGAAAGCTCTCAGCATGCTAGCTGGTAGTCAAACCATGGGGGCTGGCGCTTCCTCGGTATGCGGTCAGGAAAATGCTCGCCAAGCGGCCGAGGCCGGTGCCAACGCTCGGTGTTGTTCGAAGAGATAAGATACAACATATACAACATCTATTCTGTCAATTTTGGTGTATAAGATTCTATCTAATGTAACGCATATACTGTAGAATATATTCAACAATATGTATAACATGTTATAGTACGCGATCTATAACATATAGCAAAAAGCTACAAATAACAAATGTATAACTTACAAACATACTTTACAATGAAGCAATAATATACAAGATCTAATACAAACGCCACTAAATAACATAAAGCCATAATATCGGCTATTTAATATATAACATATATCACTTTCAATACTGTGTATAGTTTTTAAGCAACAATATCCAATTTCTAATATATGATATTGATGGGTAATCTGTAATATGTAATCTAGACTATATGGTATATGTATGTATATATATATACACATGAACTTTATAACATGCTGTGTATAATGTTTACAATGTATCATGTATTTTATTTATAGAGATGTTTGCACATGTATGTTGTTTCATATGTAGTAGAAACATGTATATGCTGTATATTCTAGGGTATCTAGTAAAAAAGACGGAGTTTCAAGTATATAGACTAACATGTACAAAATATATTCAGAATACAATACAAGACTTGTAGCATATAGTATATTTGATATAGTTTATCTGTTCATGTTTACCTTTGCTTCTTAGTTTGTTATTTGTAGTACGTAGCATATAACATATAAAGTTAAGCGTGTAGTATACTATACAGGGTATATCATATAGTATACCGTGTATGACTTATGAAAATTGTTGTCAGACAATATATCGTACAGTTTTAGTATACAAGAAAGCATACAAAGCTACAATACACAATATACACGATATATATATATATATATATTTTTTTTCTATACAATACATAAATACAAACAGAAACATAAATATGTAGATATATACACATAGAAATATATGTGTGTATATATATATAGATATATAGAGAGAGATAGTGCATAGTAACGTAGCAATATAGGAATAGATGGTTGCAACAATATAAGAATAGCAGATAGACGGCTTCACGGCCGTGGCCTTGTCTGGAGGTTGGGGCTCCGCGAAAGCGCCTGACAGCTCGCAAGCAGATCGATGGCGACGTGTCCATGCTGAGCTGAGGGTGTGCGCATTGTGCAGCATCTCAGCTCCCACGGAGCCGCGGGAGGACCGATTGCTTCTGCTTTTGTTTTTTGGTTCGCGCTATAACAGGCTACAGCGAGGAACTCATGCATTTGTCTTACCCAAATGCACTCATGTTATGTTTATGTCTTTGCTCAAACAGTAGACTCGGTAGACTGCCATGACCGACTTGGGACACCCAGAGTCCGCGTCCTGTCGGCCAGCGGTTAGTGATTCTTTAGTGCCTCTCTAATTCGATACCTCTGGTTTTCTCAGGGGCCACTCTCTGACGACTTTGTATCACTTTGTAGTTGACAGCTCAGCCGCCATCCAACATTTAGCTGCCGTGCCGTCCGGCTAATTGTGCAGTTCGTGTCAACGATTGCCAACGCTATCCAGAGTCCAGTAGTGGAACTTTCTCTTGCGGCCGTCGGCAGTGCCATGAGTCGTCATTGCAGCAATTCGCGCTTTCCCCGCCCACCACCTCAGCCGGGATGTGCTGTGTCGCCGCGTATGTCTGCCTCTCGTTCAGGAAGCTGGCAGGATGTAACGGAACCACGGGGCGCACGACTAGAGGTAACGAGTGTGCTGATCCATGGGTTTCCGAAGCTTCGAGAGTAGCAGTTGCGGCTGAGTGCTTAGACGTTAGAATTTTCAGCAACGACTGCTCTCCCTCATCCGCGGCTTTGCAGTGGCATCCTTGCAGTGGGCTCTTCGGATCGAAGGGTCATCATCTGTGTCACAAGAACATCTTAAAGCACTTGTTCTCCGAGCCCATGGCACTTCGTCCCTTTTTAGAGCGGCACCCAAGGCCAGCCCTGAACCTAAGCCACGACTCGTCCAAGCAATTTAAAAATTTTATCAAGAAGCTGTATGTTGCTACCTTGGTGCCCAACTGATCAGTTGCACGGCTGTGCGACTCTGTTGCCTCAGGGTGCGAAGGATGTATCCTCGTGCATGTCACGACACATTCCGAAGCTCCTGCAAAAAGGATTATGATGAACTTCTTGATATGGCTGGCCTCACTACGGGGAATTGATGATGATCAACCAACCCCACAAAGTCATGAAGTCGCGTAGCTGTTTAGCATGCTCGCCCGGTGGACATGGCCTGACTTTGCATCATGCTTTTTCAAGCTTCAACGCTGCCTTTGCCATGGAGTCAATGTCTAATCTTGGTTTGTAGAACAGTCAGCAGCCACGAGCCGTGTAGCAGAAGGAATGCCAGGAGGAGATTCCGTGATGCTGTGAGTGCAGCTTGTCGGCGCTGACGGCTGGGCACCTGGACACCATCGCACGGTCATACAAGCTGCTCGGAGTTTTCATGGGGCCCGAGTCGCTTCGCGGTTCAACTGCTTGTTGCGACCCTTTGCGTCGTCCCGCCGTTGAGATCCATTTTAGGCGCATGGTGGTTTTGCCCACATTGCTGCCCGAGGCCGAATCGTTCGTTGTCGCATCTGATTGCTGATTCGATCTTGGGCAGTCTTACAGAGTCAACTGATTCAAGTCTTTTCGAGTTTCACCGCTAAGACATCTGTCCGTGGGATCCGCACTTGTCAGCTTCCGATGCCGTGCCTGACAGATGGAGCGCGCCAAGACCATGCACGCGCTCATCTCAGTTCATGTCGGCGCACTCTCCTTTCAAATCATGTGAAGCTTCACAGGGGCTTAGAGTGGCGGGAGAGCGCGAAGAGCCAGGCTTTGCCGAAGACGGTCACCGTCGAGTCTCTGTCTTTGGAAGAGGACTCCAGATGCACACCCGGCCATGTCCAAAGTCTTGGCGGTTGCATCTGAACTGATATCGTGTTTTTGCTGGGCATGACTGCCTACTGTCTTTATGAAGAGCACGCATCAAACTTACTGTCCACGCCGAGTCACCTTTGCCGCAGGAAGGGCCCGTGAAGAGGCCCGCGGCTCGGAGGGTGAGTACTTAAAATCTGCTCGAGAGAAGATTTCTCATGCCATGACATTGAACACAAAGGCTGTGTCCTTTACCGTGTTTTGTGGACTAGAACAGCCCTCTCAACTATAGACGAGCTGCTATTTAAGGAGATCGAGGACCTCCTTGATTCATTCTTCTTGCGTTCCCAGTCTATGGAAGCACAGCTCGGTAGTGTCTCGTGGCTGCCAGATGTCGACAAGGCTCAAACTGCCGAAACAACTACAACTAGACTGTCTACATCCACCACTGGCATTGTATGCATAATTGAGAGGCAGGGGACCAGAGGTAGATCTTGTACTCGTTTGGGGATTGAGGAGCTCTTCAGTTGATGTTTGAGGACACAGACGAATCTGTCAGCCATTCTTCAGGAGACTCATTGCGTGCTTCGTTGACTTCAAGCCATGACATGCCGCATAGTTCTTGCTACGAGATTGAAGAGTTGTTGTACTCGCGAGATGAAGGAGCTTCATCTTTGATGTTAAGGTGTATATGTGTGTGCATATATATTTATATATGCAATATGCTGTTTGACAGATGTATGTGTTGTATTGTCTATGCACATGGGTATTTATGCAGGCATATATGTATACACATATGCACAAGAATACATACGTACATACATGCATACCTATACCTACCAACCGACCAACCAACCAACCTACCTACCTATCTGCCTACCTACGCACCTACCTCCCTGCCTGCCTGTCTGCCCACCCACCCACCCACCCACCCACCCACCTACCCACCGACCTACCTGCCTACCTACCTACCTATCTATCTACCTACCTACCTACCTGCCTACCTACCCACCTACCTACCTACCCCTACCCCCACCCCAACCCCAACCCCCACCCCTACCCCCACCCCTACCCCTACCCCTACCCCTACCTCTGCCCCTACCCCTACCCCTACCCCTACCACTACCACTACCACTACCACTACCACTACCACTACCACAACCACGACCACTACCACTACCACTACCACTACCACTACCACTACCACTACCACTACCAC